AGGACTCTGGCTTCCTAGAGCCAGAGCTTCCACTGAATTGTTTTGACCCATTTCCCAGTCTAAGATGTGGGCTGCTTTCTGATTTTGTGCACCTGACAACATGTGACCAGGTGTTAGAGATTTGGCCAGGCTCAGGAGGGTCTCTAAGCACCCTCTCACCTGTTCTTCCCATCCACTTGGAGTCTTGACTGCCATTCATCTATTCCAGCTGGAGCGCATTTCCTACAGCAGCACATGCCCTGGAGACCCTTCGACCCCACTTTACTTGTGTTGTGTTGAGAGTGGTCTGGGGGTGGGGAGCAGAGTCCTTGCCTTGGGAATTCCATTTTGAGAGGGAAAAAAATGCCCTGTCCTGAGACTCTACCTCTCACCATTTCTCCCAATCTGGAAAGGGAGGCTAGGGAAGGTATATCCAGGGAAGTCACTAAAGTAACAGAGGTTGGGGACTTCTGGGAGCCATTGAGGAGGGCCATATCAAGGGAACTACTGTGTGGACAGAGGCCAGGATACAAGTCGAAAATTGGGATCTCATCTTGGCTCTGCCTTGACTTTGCTGTGTGGTGTAGAGCAAAACTGCCCCTCACTAGCCTACTTCCCTATCTGGAAAAGAGGGAAGTAGAGACTCCTGGGGCCAAGGCAGCCAGGATGATTTTTCTTGCAATGGTCAGGAGTGGGAAGAGATGGGGTCTGGGTAGCTCGGCCAAAGGAGACTCAGGACTTGGCAGTCTGGCAGAGACTGTGAGACAGAAAGTGGGGACTGAGACCTTGGCTGGCTGCCTGGGCTGGAATGACAGGCTTGGGAACCTTCCTGAAGGGGCGGGGGAGCAGCTGGCTCTCTGTCCTTCAAGGGAGCATGGGTCTGTCCCTGGGGTAGTACGCCCAGAGGATAGGGTAGGCTAAGCCCTGTCTCAAAAGCATATAGAATTCCTAGATTCATGAAGAGTGAATGTCCCCACCTCTGACCCTACCCTTACCATCCATGGCCATCACCCTATCACCCTTTTCCTTTAGGGCTTTTGACTTTAGCTTCTTCCTTGAAGGATCACCAGTGTTGATGGGGCTAGAGCGGTACCCAGCCCAAGAAAACAGAGACATACAATGTTCAGCAACTGGGAAAGACATTTGGGTTGAGCCAAGGAGGAGGACCTGTTCCACCAGTCCTTACACTGACCCTACTTGCCACATACACCATCTTGGTTGGGGTTAAAAGCTAATGCTTTGCCAACTGAGGTCAGTCAGCCACATGACCTTGGGGAATTCTTTGGCTCTCCATTCCTGTTTTTAGGTTCTAAAGCTGCACTAGCCACTAACTATATGTAAATATATAAGTTCATTAAAATTAAATGAAATTAAAAACCCAGGTCTTTGGTCTCACTAGCTACACTTCAAATTGCTCCATAGCCACATGGACAGCACAGATTATGGAACATTTGCATTATCACAGGAAATTCCACTGGACAGTGTTCTTCTAATGAATGGCATGAATCCCTGCCTTGAAGAAAATCATAAGTAAGATCTACGGTGGCAGGGATCTCCTGTATTGTTTTCAGCTATGTCCCCAGCATAGTGCCTGTCACATGGTGATCATTCAGCATTATCAACTGATTGGAGCCCAGGTTTGACCCCAGAAAGAACCAGAGGGGTGGGGTCCCTAGCCCACAGAGCTACCAGGAACAGGCCAGAATTTGAGGTCCACTCACAAGTCTTGACTTCAATCTGAGCCCCTGTCTCCTTATCTATAAAGTAGGAATCATGATCTAGGACTTCCCAGGTCACAGAGATGTGGAAGGACTCTCTGGGTGTCCATGAATCCCTTGGGCACCCACATTCTGATCCTTGCCAGGGACTAAAAAGAGTCCAGCTGCTATCTGTGGTGTCAAACTCCTCTCCCCTTTCCACCAGAATTGAGTGTCTTAGACCATTTGGGCTGTTATAACAAACAGTACCATAAACTCGGTGATTTTTACTGTAAACAACATAAATTTATTTATTTATGGAAGCTGAAGTCCAAGATCAAGATACCAGTAGACCGGTATCTGATGAGGGTCCACTTTCTGATTCAAAGATGGAAACTTCTAGCTGTGTCCTCACATGGTGGAACAGGCAAGGCAAGCTCTCTTGCCTCTCTGGTGTCTCTTGTAGGACTGCTAATCCCATCATGACCTGATCACCTCCCAAGTCCTCACCTCTTACTACCATCACCTTCCCTACCACACCGTGAGCTCTGGGAATAGGAGCCATGTCTCTACCCAAGCTCAGGTGCCTGGCATAAAAAACTGGTCAATGTCTGCCAGTTTTACACTAACTAACAAACAAAATATCTTCTGGGCACCTGATATATTTGAAGCAATCTGAACAGATGAGGGCCCTGCATTGGAATTTCTGTTTCATGTTAATTTTTTCATTTTTGTTTTGTACCAGGGATTAAACTCAGGGTCACTCAGCCACTGAGCCACATCCCAAGCCCTTTTTTTTGTATTTTATTTAGAGACAGGGTCTCACTGAGTTGCTTAATACCTCAATTTTTCTGAGGCTGGTTTTGAACTGAGGCTGGTTTTGAACTGAGGCTGGTTTTTGATCCTCCTGCCTCTGCCTCCCCAGCCACTGAGATTATAGGCATGTGCCCCTGCACCTGGCTCCATGTTAAGTTTTTTATTGCACACACTTTCTTATTGAAATATGTTAAAGTATATTGATGCTGGGCCCAGTGGTGCACACCTGTAATCCCAGTGACTCTGAGGCTGAGGTAGGGGGATGGCAAGTTTGTGGCCAGCCTCAGCACCTTAGTGAGACCCTTGTCTCAAAATTTAAAATATTTTTAAAAGGGGAGTGTTAAGGATGTAGGAAAGCTCTCTGATGTGTCTTTTATAAGAATACTAATCCCATCGTGACCTGATCACTTCCCAAAGACCTCACCTCTTACTACCAACACCTTGAAGATTAGATGATGGCAATAAGTGGCAGAGCACCCCTGGGTTCAATCTAATGAATGTGACATAACTTTCCTATGTTCACATATGAATATACCACCAGTGAAACTCCACATCATGTACAACCACAAGAATGGGATCCTAACTAGGACAAGTTATAGTCTATGTGTTATAATATGTCAAAATAAACTCTACTGTCATGTATATCTAAAAAGAACAAATAAACTTTTTTTAAAAATTAAAAACATATATACATGTAAATGTATGAAATATTTTTGAAATATGTTAGAATTCTGGAGATATTAAAAGTTTGCTGAGCACCTCCCTGTGCCAGGCACAGTCCTAAACACTAGAGATATAATAATGAAACCAGACATCTGTAATCCCAGTGACTCAGGAGGCTGAGGCAGGAGTATCACAAGTTCAAGGCCAGCCTCAGTAACTTAGCAAGACTCTCTCTTTCTCTCTCTC